ACAAGTGGCAGGAAACCTTTAAACCTTTTCTATCACTTTAATGTTAACTAGTTACGCTGATTTCCAAAACACATCTCCAGATGCGTGGTGTCCCATTCACAAGTCAGATTTAAGATTAAATAGTACAATATACTTACCACTGTATGGACCACCTTGGTGGCCTGTGGAAGGAATGCTTTCTCTTCCTGTTTGAATGCAACCATAGGAATAATAACCAAAAAAAAAAAAAAAAAAAACCAAAAAAAAAAAAAAAAAAAAAAAAAAAAAAAAACCCAAAAAAAAAAAAAAAAAAAAAAAAAAAAAAAAAAAAAAAAAAAAAAAAAAAAAAAAAAAAAAAAAAAAAAAAGAGAAGACATTTAGCAACAAAGATTAAGTTGTTATGAAAGACACCACCCAAGAGGAGTGGAAGAGGGCTGGGGTACAACCTCAGCCTAAGGACCTTGTCCTTACCGAGGGCCAACTGATTTGTGCACATGGAATTGCTGTAGCATTTTGAAAAGCCCTATTTAGATCTGAAGGAAGGGACCCAGCTGCTGGGTGTTTCAGAGCTACCTGCTCCCTGCCCTGAAGGATCAGAAGGGAAAAGGGATTCTGTTTGGACATCTCCATTGAATTGCTAATGATAGTGGAACTATGACTTGTATCTGTGAATGTAACACACATCCTCACTTATCCCAGAGATATTTGAGAAGTGCTGCAGTGTAAAATAGAACAGCCTGGTGACATCCCATACACTGTTAAACTTGGCTAAATCACAATGTCAGCAACATTTCTAAAGCATTTCTTTCTGTGAACAGGGAGATTTATACATAACCTATTTCTTGCCATGTGTGTATATAGTTACTTTTTAGATCTGTGGGACTTCTGACCAAGCATTCTCACTTAAACTCTCAGATGCTGACAGAAAGAGAAAAAAAAAAAATGGTGGTGATTAAGTGCTGTATTTTAATTTCTAGATATTATATCTCGAGCTGGGCAATTAAATGTGCTTTTTAGTCATTTTGAAGATGGAAAAAAATCTAACAAGCAAAAAAAAAAAAAAAAAGCTTAAGTGGAACAAATATTTTTCAGGGACCACTATTAATTATACAACAAATAAATAAATAAAATTTTAGCGGTCACATTATTTAGGTCAACAAAACCACACGGAGAATTCCTGGGAAATTGATTAAGCGGGCTAGACTGCCAGGGATGCCAGCACAGCAATGAGGTCATGCTCGGTGCAGAGGCTGGGAGCAAACCAGCTCCCTAAATAATCGGCTCGGGATTCGGCTCCCCGCGCAATCCCCCTGCATCCCCCGGCGCAATCCCCGTGCATCTCCCGCGCAATCCCCGTGCATCCCCCGCGTAATCCCCGCGCAATCCCCGTGCATCTCCCGCGCAATCCCCGTGCATCCCCCGCGCAATCCCCGTGCATCTCCCGCGCAATCCCCGCGCAATCCCCGCACGGTCCCGCCGGGCCGCAGGCGGAGCGCGGGCGCCCCCGCGCGGCCCCGGGGCGCGCTGCCAGCAGGGCTCGGCTGCGTTCGTTCTCCCGTCGGGGCCCTTGTGAGCATCAGTGAAACCCTGCAGGGCCGCGGAGTCTCTGACTTGTATGAAATTCGTGTTCGGACATCGCGGTCCAGCTGCGAGTGCTGCTCTCTCTGTCACAAAAACAGAGCTATGCATTTAAATTGGTGGCATGGATACGTACGCAGAGGGAAAGGGATAACATGGCAAAAGAGCTGCCGAGGGAATACCTGGGCAGTACTGATAAGTTCGGTGAACAAACCAGCATTAACACTGGCCACTGCAAGGGCAAGACTCACTTTTCCTGTCATTGAAACAGCTTTTCTTCCTTTGTAAACGCTAAGGCATCTGCTGCTCGAAGTAAGCGGTTCCCATTGCCTGCAGTCAGTACTGCCTCCACACCTGGAGGTTTCTTAATTTACATCACTGCAGCTCCTCGCTTAAAGCCGCTGTCCACTTGAAAAGGAGAAGGAGCAATCTGTCTCTTGCTTACTATTCAGAGCTAAAATAAATTCCTGTTTTTAACCTGCAGCCAACTGTCTCACTCCCAAGTTTGCTAGAGAAAAGCCACGTCGACACCTATAAAACACCTGTGAAATTCCTGCACCTCTGAGCCATTGTCAGCCATGAAACGCAATGCCTCTCACACACCTGGAACAATGTGCAAAACATAAGGAAAGCAGCAATCCTATCAGAGAATGGACTGCCCAGGGAAAAATTACCCCTTGTTAGTGTCTAGCAGAGATATTACAATGGCTGCCAGGGAAATAATGAAAATACTGACATTCACTGTACCTAAAACCACAGGAAGATGTTTTTGCTCAACTACTTTTCTAAAAAGGGAGCTAAAAATGTGAATGCTCCTGGGTGAAATACATCACTATTTCTCATAATTTCCATCAGCTTTAGGGAAGCTTTAATTCAAGAAAAAAAAATAGATATATTCAGAAAACTTTTGGTTAGTTTGCTTTTGGTTAGCTGACTTTATAACCTACTAGTTCTACTTTTCACTTAGTAGCCAAAGTCATAGAGAGCAAAACTAGAGGAAAGCACATTGTCTACATTACAAAACTCACATAATTTCCTTTTCCAAAAATCCAGCATGACCACACAGTGTATCAATAGCATGGTGCAATCTTTTTGTAGGAGGTTGTGCCTGTTTTCTTTTTGAAATCTGCCTTCTGATATCCCAGGTGCTTATTTGGTACCTTTGTGGGTTTTAACAACTAAATCACTAATATTTCACCTTCAGGGAAGGAAATTTCAGCCACAATAAGGTGCCAAACTATTACTTCTTTTCTCAAAACATCAGAGAAACTGCAGAGAGGCTGGCTATGGCTGTCTTAAGAAGCTGCAAGTAAAGTCAGGAGCTCCTGGGGACTGGATGCTGTTCCTCTCACTGCCCTGGGTCCCAGCCTGCCCTGCCCAAGGAAACGGCACAATCTGAGCAAAACTGGAGGGCAGGATGTGAAAAGGGCAACAGCTGATGACAGCACAGAACAGAAGAATCATTTTCATGGTTTCCTTTCAAAGCCTGAGGCAGAGTTCTGGATTCTCACATCTAAACCTTCACCTGTGACTTTGCAGCAAGTAGCTGCTCAACATCTAGGTAGTGATGCCCCTTTTGTTTTTTATTCTGTCCCCTGAAGACAAAGGATGGGTATTACCTCATGTAGAGGACATCTGTGTGGTACAAAGTCTGCACATAATCAATGCCCTTTCAGTGTGAGATGACAGTTCCAATGCTATCTGTTTTGCACCACCTTTTCTGAGAAGAGAAATCCTTCAAGAGAAGGTTTTTATAAAACAGATTTGCAAAAAAGTGAAGTTAACACTTCCCTGCCAATCTCAGTCTTGGTCTTTTAAACAGTCTTAGCAGTCTTCATTCACTTTCAGCCATTCTGTATTACACCCTACATGTAGCTCATGTCAGCCCTGGGGTTTGTGTGCAAAGCCTTTAAAGCAGCTACTGAAGTCTCACTACCAAGCAGCTACCTCGACCTTTTGCAGCAAAAAGGAATGAAAACCAGACATGCAGAGCCCTGTGTCACAGCCCTGGGATGGGTCATTTGAAACAAACAAAAAAAAATAGCATAAGTAATGGGAAACCCAGTTTTAAGCTTGCAGCAGCAATCCATATTGCATAGGTTACTGTGGTTTTCAGAGCAATTCTGATAGTTAGAACACCATGGCACTGAGCAGGTCAGAAATAAAATTTGTGAACATTTGACCTTGTTCAGCCCATCATTGTGTGTTTGCATCAAAAGATAGCTGTTCAATAGTTGCAGACTTTCCAAGCAATCTCTGGAGCCTGGCAGCAAGTCCTACGAGCTTCTCTGGCTGTCACCAGGGAGACCATGGATCTGTTCTGCATGTGGTCAGCCTTCCAGGGATGAGGATATTACCAGGCACCATCATAGGAAAAGACATCTCAAGACTAATTTCCTTAGCTTGATATTGCATTACTTGTGCATATGAAAGGATAGGTTCCTAACTCTGTGGAGACTTCAAGGCTGCAGTTAGTTCAACTGGCAAAAGTACTGTCAAGTTTTCTAAAGCTTTGAGTTCAAACACATGTTTTTATTTGATCTGTGTTATATGATTTAAACCTGATTAAATCTAACACCTGAAGGAAAAATTTAAAAATAGATGAGAAGTTCTCTCCTCTGGTAGATATCTGGGGAAAGTAGAAAAATGCAATAAAGTGGAACCAGTTTAAATATTAGTTCAAAAATGTTGTCAATTGCCAGATTTTTTTGAAACTCAGTCACTTCTGAGTTCAATCAAAATATTTCTGAAAATGATAACAATAATGTTAACATTTCCAGTGATATAATAGCAAATTGATTTTTAATTACATTATAAATAATCAACATCACTGTTAAAAGGAAACAGAAGAAAGGTGCTAGTTTTGGAATAAAAAAGAAATAGTTCTGTGATAACAGAAGATCAAAGATGGCATGGTCTAATTAAAATATAAAATACTTCATGAATATCAAAGGGTTACCTACTGCTCTGACAGACATTGTCAGGTGATACTACAGGCACCTTAATTCTTCTAGAATCATCTTTGTCTCCACTGGCTCTCAACTCCATATTTTGTCATATCCTGCATAGGAAATCAAATTAAAATCTGGGAACCGAACCTGGTTTTACTGTCAGAGCTCCTCCAAAGAGAGTTTAAAAGTTTTGTTGATGAGGTATCTGTCTGTTGGTAAACTGAGCAGCTGAAGCCTGACTGAAAAGTAGTTGTAATAGAGCTAGCTAAAAAACAAACTTTAATAATGAATTCTGTCCTTGTTTTCTGTCTTCTCTTCTACATCTAGAAGCTTCCTTGGGACATAGGGAAGGCTCCTGTGTAATAGGAATGTCACACAACAGAAGGCTGAATTCCTGATTAACAGCAGCTCCTTCCACTTGAACTGCAACTACTTAAGCAAAGTAATAAAACAAAAAGAAAAGTCAATAATCAAATTGTACCTCTGTTTCAGATGGATACACTACTGATGATATTGAATTTTACTGGAATGGAGGAGAGGCAGCAGTAACAGGAGTTAATAACATCGAGCTCCCGCAATTTTCTATTGTGGATTACAAGATGGTATCAAAGAGAGTGGAATTTACAACAGGTAAGCACTGACAAGTTAAAAAAGTTGTTCCCTCTTCCTCCTACTCAGAAATATCAGTGCCTACCTTTTGTGAGGCATTAGTCATTTTGTGACTTCTTTCTTTCAGGAGCATATCCTCGACTATCACTTAGCTTCCGGCTTAAAAGAAATATTGGATACTTCATTTTGCAAACCTATATGCCTTCCACACTGATCACAATTCTGTCATGGGTGTCTTTTTGGATCAATTATGATGCCTCTGCAGCCAGAGTTGCTCTAGGTAACTTCTTCTCAAAATTACTGAACTATGTGGACACTTGCTGCCTTTAAAACTGTGGCACCAAATCCGTTCTGCTGGTTGTAGCACATTAATTGTGATCTTACACAAGCAGCACAGAGCCTTGGTTGTCAGGAAGGCAGGCAGGTGTGACCTTGCCTGCATCTGAAGCTCTTGCTCCACGTTTAGGTTGGGATTCTGACTGACTTCCTGTTGTCATAATGGTCTTTGGATCAGGCCAAAAGCATCTTGCTTCCAAACTGGAGCATAAACTCTAATTCAGGTATCTAAGGGTATCTACACTGTGCTGCTTGAACAATCCCTGTTAATGTCAAAAAGTGATCTCTCAGGCCAGATCTGTGACTGGAAGGAACACACAAGATCCTGCTGACATCAGTGGAGATATACCAGCTTACACCAAATAAGTCTGGTTTACCTATAGCTGGTTCTTTCCCATGCCATGTTCCTTCCTACAACTTTCCTCAAGAATGAAGATCTTCTGCACTGTCTATGCTTTAAGGCATATCTGTTTTCCAGCTCTATTGCCAAAAAGCCATTTTGTCCCATCTCCCTGCAAATTAAACTTGTTACACCTGTGCCTAGAGCTACTATCTTCATGCACTAAAGACCTGTGATTGAAGCAGAATAAAAAGTAAATTCAGCCAGCTTAGAGAAAAAACACATATGAAAAAAAAAAATCATTCAGTTGTGGATAACATAATGAGATGGAAATGCTTTACTTGCAAGCACCTAGTTAATAGGAAAAGTTGTTTTGGTACAAGCATATATATCACTTTCTCTTCATCAAAGACCATCACTTTATCAAAAGGCTTCCCTTTCTCCTTTCCATCCTCCATTTTAAATCAAAAGTTAGATACTTATTGCAGCAATGCAAGTCAACTATAGGGCGAAGCAGAGCTACTGCTGCAAATGAAGTCAGAAGCCTTCTCTCACATAGAAAGAACAGCAATCAACTTTTGCTATCCAGGTCAGCTAACACCACATTCCCTAGCACAGTTATTGCAAAAATTAAGGCAAGAAATTCCAACATAGCCTGGGCTACTGAAGGTTATTTCATTCACCCTCCACTGCATGAAAAGCCAAGGAAGGTGCTATCAGCAGACTTGCAAGGATATGTTCCTTTCCAGTTCTGCAAAACACATTCCTTTGTCTGCTAAGAACCTGATCACATAATTAACCCATCTGCATGAGAAGTGCAATGCTGCCATTATGTCTTTTGTGCACAAATCTCCTTCCTTGTCTTGTTAGGCAATATCTTATTTCTTCCCTTCACAGGAATCACGACTGTGCTGACCATGACCACCATCAGCACCCACCTCAGGGAGACCTTGCCAAAGATTCCCTATGTCAAGGCAATAGATATTTACCTGATGGGATGCTTTGTGTTTGTGTTCCTGGCCTTGCTGGAATATGCCTTTGTAAACTACATATTCTTTGGGAAAGGACCTCAACGTCAAAAAAAGACAGCAGGCAGAGCAGGACGTGCTACAGGAGAGAAGGGCAGACTGGAAACAAATAGAGTCCAGGTAAAATGTCCAAGCTATCTTTTCAAACATTACTTAAAAATGTTCATTTATGTGATGATAGAGATAAATACAGGTGGAACACATGTGCAAAAGCAATGCAAAAGCATTTAGGATTGCGTAGAGAAAAAATATATTTTAAGGACATGACAGCAGCATATGGTCTGTTCCATCTTTAACTGAAAACAGAGTAAGAAAATACAGAAAATGTAAATTAATATTTAGGACACATATTTCTTTCTTCTTTGTATTTCTTGCAGAAAAAATACAAGGGGTACAAGGAAGTTAAATATCACTTCATCTGTATCTTTTTTTGCTTTAGAAGGTGGTATAGAAGAAATGTTTATAGTAAAGTTCCTCTTTACATACAGAAACTTCACCAAAAATAAAAAACATAGACAAGCTCGGTGGCTTCAGTGAGCCCTGAATGAAGCCTGTAGGACTGACCTTTGAGGAACACGAGGATGCTGCTGCTAGGTTATAACAGCTTTCATAGACATCAGGATTTTTCCCTCAGCTAAATTCAGGCATACCACAACTATCCCCTCTTTAAAAAACAAGTCAGAAAACTTACAGAAAGTAATACTATGGACATATTTTTAACTAAGATGAGTTTAATTTTGCAACACGTCACTGAGCACTTGCAAACATCTATAAACCTATTTCACTTTTCCCCAGTTTTTCAGAAACAAACCTTTTGAAGCCTCAGGTGTATTTGGCCCAGCCTAATGCAGAAGAAAATATATATCCTAACGAGCCAAAAATTTTCTTCCTTCCTGTGCTTTACTTACAATATATTGCATCCAAGTATTAATGAGATCTTGCGCAGGCTGTCCTATAAACTTCTTTACTCCTGTGGCCTGAGGTGATAACATTTGGACAAAGCTGTATTTGAGGCCTCTGTTCAGTTTGAAGAATGAGACCAACACATAAAACTCTAAGAAGTAAGACTTCATCTTGATAGGCGGCTACAGTGTCACATACACATCTGGAAGTGCACTTCAGAAACTCTGTGATAACTTTTTAATTCTAGAGCTGTGTGTTTGGTGTCCCACCACTACAGCTATGCATCATTAACAAAGCTGTCATATCCTCAGTCTCAGTGAGGATAATAACTCATGAGCCTATTAAAAGTTCTTACTTACATTTGCCTTCTGTCCCACTGTGTAGGAGATGCTTTATTACAGTGAGGGCACAAATTCAGTTCAGGCAACCAGCAGCCTCCAAGACCCCACAAAGCACTGTCTTCCACAGAGCACAGAAGATAAACCACCCCAGTATGGATTGTCATGCACAGACACTGTCTATACATTTCTGTGGAAAATAAAGGGAAGAAAACAACATAACCCACAAATTCTGACCAGCTACTTCAACAGCTCCTGAGATAACCCAGCCTAGGTGAGAAGCAGCACAGCAAGGACTCATGACGAAGAGGAAATCAAGACTTCTTCAGAGGTCAGCCTTGGCTACATGTGCCCCAGTGCACTGAACTGAGTAAAGGATAAGAGTACAGGTAAGTTCTTCTCCTGCATATTTGGAGAGTTCATTTACCTAACAAAATGCTTTAAAACTCATAACTAAAAGCTTTTGTCTAAATGTTATGCAGCAAATATTACACTGAAATTGGTGCTCAGAATGGGATGGAATGTTTTTAAAGCACCACATTGCATACACCACCATTTTTCTGATAGAAAAAGGAAGTCATACATGCTGTGTACCAGGATTTCTAAGTGCTCACACTTAAGACAGCCACCCCATTCTGAGACTGAGAGTGTTTTAAGTGAATATACTGCTTTCTGCCTGTACAGTGCAGGTTTGTGATTGTAAAAACATGTATATGCACACATATACATTAACATACACATGTGAATGGATATCGGTGAATTTTGTGTTCCACACACTGATGTGAGACATTGTGAGCATAAATTGTACTCCGCATAGAAATGCTGATTTCCAACCGTTGTATTTCTGTCTTTGGCAGGAAGAGTGCACATGGCCAGAGCAGTGGGACACAGTGAGGCTATGTGACCTCCAGTGAAAAAGCTCCCAGCCCCTCTCCATCATTTTTTGAGATTTTTCACTGGTATTATGATGCCTGCACCAGAGCAGGGGAAAGTTGGTTTTTGAGCATAAAAGAAGTACAATTGTAAGTATGTATAGCTATAGGACATTGTTTCCCTTTTGCTCTTGACCCACACCACTTATCCATACAGGCACCTGTAACTGTTAGAAGATATGTGACAGTGCTTCTTCATCTCTTTGTGCCAGGTGAAGATATTGATCATTCCCATCTGACATACAACTCCAAAGACTAAAAGAGTTCAAATTCCTCCACCAGATAACACAGGCTTTAGATGCATGAGCAACACTCAGCAAATTGACCATGATATGAACAGTATAGAGAAGAACAGATGAGAAATGAAACAGAACTGCTGTTTTATATGTGGCTGTTCCATACTCTACAGACTGAAGAAGATAGAAATAAAGTCTCTCCAGCTTTACAGTTTATGCCATTTTTATTTTTAATATACAAAAACTATGAACTTGTAGTAAATAATCTTTCTGTTTCTCTTAATAAAGCATAAAGACTGTTTATATCTCCTTCTTCATTTGTCAAACCTAGATGTCACTGACATCACCATAATTATGGATAAATAGAAAAAAAACACACAGCAAGAAAATATTTAGATAGTCCATGCATGCAACTGCTTCTTTTTCCCCAGACAATTACAGCGTGAATAGTAATTACATAGAAGATATCTCTTAAGTTTGAAAAAAAGGTAGGATGCAATCATAATGTGAGTGGGAAAGGGGCTGCACCATCAAAAGGTTTATAAATGTTTATCAACACAAGGCAAGTGATAGATTGTCTCCCCAGTTCTGCACAGCATCACACTTTCCTTCTAAATATCCTGTCAAACACTAAACACTTGGGATAGAAAGCCAGAGACCAGCCACAGGCTCTGAGGAAAACTTACAATTCTCCAATACAGTGGCTACTGGAAAAGGAAAAAGAAGAGAAGCACATAACCACACAAAAATCTTAACCTTCAAGTAAATCTTCTTGTGAATTAATATAGCCCTGCTGAACATAAGCTGTTTTTCTGCAGATCAGATTGTGGTAACACTACAGCATTTGTTCCAATAAGACCACCTGTATGAGTAACATGGCCCTGAGTCTTTCATCTTAAGAGGAGGAAACAATGGGTTTGTATTGAGAGAAAACAGATGTTCTTACCTTTTGTCTCCCAACTGTTGCTTTGAGTTGTTTTCTTTTTATTGCTTTCACTGTTTTACACTTAACAATATCATTTGATGATCCTAAGCAGGAAACTCCTATTCTAAGTGCCACATGAAAAAAGGAGGATATTCATTCAACCCTTAGTGCTTGTCAGTGGCGCAGGAAAGCTGAGTCCAGTCTGTCAGCATCCTGTTAGGGGGACCCTTCACTGTGCTGCCCTGATGGATCACAGGCTGATTTGACTGACTTAGTCAGGGACAGCCTAAGGGAGACCCCTCAGCAGGTCTTCCCAGTTTATGACCCCTTAATGGGTCTTCCTCTTTATTTATGTTACCCACTGCAAGCAACAGCCAGCACCTGGCAAGGACTCATGCTAACAGCTTATGGAATATCACTATTTATTAATAAAAAATGGTGACAGGTTAATGTTCAAGGATTGCCAGTGATAGTATCTGACTGCAACACCATATTTAAAGCAATACACAAACTCTAATCCCCAGTGAAAGCATTCAGCCCACACAGAGTGATTCTAACCCAATAACATCTCTGTGGGGTAGAAGACATGTTCAGCCCATCGACCGATGCCAGTGGTTACAGTGGAGTCTTCCCTGACTTCCCCATTCTCATCTTATTTGTAACCTGTTTCTTTACATTTAGGTGGAACTTGAGTCACACTAGTCATACACACCTTTGTTACTGATTGGTGTAAAATTCTGTTACTTCACTCTTGGAGCTAATAAAACGCGGAGCAAATGCCTGGTGAGGGGTGGTGGTACCTTGGATGGAGATGTGAATTAGTGCTACAATTAGATTAAGTTCATCTGATTGGACCAAGTTCATCTGAGGAGGATGATTTCAGCACAGTTATTGGCTCAACAGCAGGAGATCAGCTGCACAAGTCTTAACACTTTATATCAAAATATCCTGAAATGGTTTTTAATGATGTGGGGAATTGCACAGAGCATTTGACCAGGTATACATAAGAACATCTTTTATACTTCCATGAGCTAATTTAGTCAAGATCAGTGTTCGGCTCTTGGCTCTGAATTGCAAAGATTGCAATTCAAAGACCAACTTGCTTCATGACATACAAATCATCTTGCCTAAAATGGCTTAAATTAATTTTAAAAATAACAGGTTCATTTTTGAACGCTTAGAGCAGGATTTCAGACACTGTTTGGCTCATAACAAATCAGGACATATTAGTTTCAGAAAGATCCCTCTGAATCACTTCAGAGGGTAGGCAGCTACAAGTTTTCTTCCCAAAAGAAAAGTCATACTAACTGCTTAATAATGCTTGCATTATTGTTACTATTATATCACTGAAGTCAATTAACATACACATTAGATTATGTAATCAAAGACAGCTCAAAGAGCTATTTCATAAGACTGGGAAGAAAAGATTGACCTATCAAAACTTCTGAGAATTAAAAAAAAAATCTCTTTTTACACAGAGACAACTCTGAGATCACTGGGTTTTTCCACAGAAAAAATCTCAGATCTTCAGAGCTATTCATTTACTCTGACTGTGCATAGTTATGGCAGTCCTCTGAAAAGTAGGAGACCCTAGCTTAATCTTCCTCCTTCTTAAATTTGAAGAACTGACCTAAAAAGTATGAACTGGGTAGCCCATATCTCATTTGAAACACCATGCTGATTTGTGACAAGCTGACTTTTCTAACCCAAAGCATGTGAGTTTTTCCCACCAAAACAGTGGTGGGAACCAGGGTGTTACCACTGAATGCTCATTTCAGCACATACAGAATCAATGTCTAAACCAGAATAGTGCATTTTCTATTTGTGAAGGCTTACTCACTTTGAAGGCTTTTTTACCCCACACTTCTCTTGTGTGGCTTTTGTACAAATAGTCCCTCCACTGCTTTGCGTTCAGTTAGTAAGTGCTTAGTCTGGCACAGTACAAATATGCTGTCAGTAATGATGTAAAGATTTCTCCTGGTGATGGGAAAGGACATCTTCCCCATTGCCTGGTGGAACTGAAACTTTTTTTGGTCCCATGTTTCCTCTGTAGCAACCCACAAAGACTGGGTTTCCCTGTATGTTTTGTTTGGAATTTTTTATTAAACATACTTCAAATCTGCTGTAGATTATTATATCATTTCCTAGCTCTACTATGTCTTACTAAAAATGTAAAGTAAGAGTACAAACAAAGCCCTGCATATCAATGGTGCTTCACAAGACTAGATATTGTCTATAATTAATACCTTATTTGCTGATATAAAGGCATCCACAGACATGATCGAGTTTGTTATAAATTTGGGATAGGTCCAGTACCACAGGTTACCAAAAACAACATTAATATTCAAGCCTCAAGGTGAAGACCTTGAAGTTTCATTTAAAAGAGGCCAGTGTTGTGATGTATATTTCTCTCAAATGAGCTGCAGTGGATGTTTAAATATCAGTGAATTTGAAACATCTATTAAGTCTTTGTGGAGAAATCAGAAGTTAACCTGGAAATACCACAAAAACTTTTGAAAAGAGGTTTTACTACAAACGTGTAGAAAGCTAAAGATTTGTGAAAAGGAGAGCATTTCACAGAAATGCAGCAATTCATGGTTAATTACACTCATACATGAGAAGAAAATGATACAAAAATATTTAATATTTACATATATATAATTGTTTCTGCCAGACATGTACATACTGGTTGCAGTTTCCAGTTCTTTGCTTAGGTATTTAAAACAGTGCTCTGACTAATAGCACAAATAAAGGGACAAACATATTTGAAACAGCTGTTTCTGATGCTAACACATAAAAGTGCAACTGAATGTAAGTTTTCATTGAATGAAATGGATTATTCTATATGCACATGAACAAGTTAATGTGCTATGATTTCATCCCTATAATATAGTAAATGCCCAAAATCAATTCTCATCACAAGTATTTTACAATAACTGATGAAATACGTGTGTATCTACATGCTCTTCATATAACGAACCCATTGTTACAAAACTTTTAGAAACCAACCTGCAGCACTAAAACAGTCAAAAAGTGTTTAAAATGGGCAGAGACAGCAACACCTTCTTTTCATCTTGAGTATGTGAAAGCTTCAGGTGCCAGTCAGCAGACTTTAAAGAACAGTATTTCATAAAGGCCATGATCCAAGTAAAAGATAAAATTACAAAAGTCTTACTTCAGAGAGGATGAGACAATTAACTGAATTACAAGACCAAGGAGCCGAGTCAGGATGGAAGGTGCTTAGATGTTGAATAGCTAATTTCACACCAGTCAGGAAAGCGTATTCAGTGTTTTTTCACTTTTGGGAATGCTGTACCAGACAGGACTGTCCTTGCAGCCCCAGGAGCACCCTGACACAGGAGCCACAAGGTCCACCTGGGAAACAGCTTGGGCTGGCTGAGGAGCTTGTCTAATCCCCGTTCCTTCCTTGACACAGGTGGATGCCCATGGAAACGTGCTGGAACCACGTGAACTACAAAATAACATTTGCAGGATCTTCCATGACCCCCCAGCCACCACGTACGTGTGCAACAGTGCCAACCTGCAGTACAGAAGAGCCGCTTCCAGCAGAGACCTCTACAGCAGGAGCGCTCTGGACAGACACAGGCTCCATAAAAAAGGACACTTACGCAGGAGGGCATCCCAGATCAAAGTCAAAATCCCTGATTTGACTGATGTTAACCTGATAGACAAGTGGTCCAGAATGGTCTTTCCCATCATGTTCATTCTCTTTAATGTTGTTTACTGGCTGTATTATGTCCACTAAGTTATGCAATAATGTTACCACAGACTAATATAATTAGACTTGTTTCTTTTCCTTCTCAATTTCGTTAATTCTGAAGAACAGCAGTAGCTATAATGTTCCATGTTCAATGTAAGATACTCTGCCATGGAACACTTCTAGATTTAAGCTTTTAAAAAAAACCAACAACCCAACACAAATCTAGGGTCGCAACATCTAGATCAGAACAGTACAGATCAGCTCTTAAGAAGCATCTTGAGAAAAATTGCTCTACCTTGATTTTTACAAAGTTTATGCATCACCCATGACTGTTCTGTGTCAAATTTAATTTTTTTTTAAGTGGAAATTTGTCCCACTGTATTTATTATCACATATTGGCAGCTCACAGCAGCATGCTTCCAAACAACACAGTCAAACTACTAGTAGTGTCTATGTCACTGTCTTTCACCATTCAGAGTGTAGAGAAATTTGAAGAAATTACAGTTTAAAAGATTATAACTAATGCACCATGCTTCACTTCAAACTTAATAGCTCTACTAGGAAGTATTTCCATAGTGTGCTTGAGAAGTATCACTCAAGGAGAAGTCAAATAACATTTTCATAGACAGAGATCTTCAAAAGAAAAAAGGGTAGCAGAGAAAAATCCCACTGAGTATCCAAGCAAGGAATCAGCTGATTTGATCTCAATGGAATTCTGTTATGTCCACAATAACAGAAGCAAAGTTGATACTTATAAGAACAGTTGTGTCATATATAATTTTGTATTAAAAAGTAGAAAACAAACACATGTTGATTCCTTGAAGCAACTCTATGGGATACCCCAGGCCAAGATTTTTCTTAACACCCAGGTTTCCTGTGGCTGGTAATTGCAACATTCTCCCAAAAGTTGGTAGATGTCTGGGAACATCTGAGGAAATTTCTGCACACAGTTTCCTTCAGATTTCTTTATTCCACTGAGAACCAGGAGATGCAGCTGAGTCCTGCAGCACACTGGCAATGCTGGGTGCACTCCTCCTGAGGAGCTGCCTCTCCTTACCTGGCTGCTTATTGCCTGACACAACTGCAGCCAAGGAGCCACAGGCAAAGGGCTACAACGTCCATGCAACTGAGAAGCAATAGGTCAGTCATATTCTATCTATATTAAAGCATTTTTCCTTCTCTATTTCCAATTGCTTCCTAACAGCACTGATACTATATCTTGGCTAACATACCTTTTTATTGAAATTATTATCAGTTAATTTTTTTTTATTCCAAGTGTTTCATACTTCAGGAGAGTCAAGATATACAAGCCAGCAGAGTCTATGTAGATGCTGAGGTGGTATTATCAATGGAAGCTGGTACAGAAAGAAACATTGGTCAGGATACAAACAAAAAAGTGATGTGGAAAAAGTGATGTTCTTCAGTAGTTCCTCGTTGCCTGGAGAAATGACAGCTGATAACCTTATTGCCAAGTGACATTGCAATCTCTTTAATCAGAACATAATAATGAATTAAACCCTCCTACATGTTATGGTTTGTCACATTGTGCAAATTGAACCTTCTCACAGAGCAGGGCCTGCAGCCCCTTCCCTTTGTGTGCACAGCAGGCTGCTGCAGAATGAGGTAGAATCATAGAATCACTAAACAAGAAAGGGAGTAGGTTTAATTTACTCACTACAAAAGTCATAAGGCTGCAAACCAGGCATTTGACATTGCTAATCTATGGGAGTCTTTGAAACTATCCATTTTTCTGTGGGCTCCAAAGTCCCAGTCTCATCCCAGGCTCAATGGAGCACAATCATGGTCTTCTCAGATGTCTTCTCTCTGCTGCTACAACCTTTAACCTCTGGTCTACTACAGAGTTGCACAATTTTACAAGATTAATCAGCCCCTAAGTACAACTTGAGGTGATTCAGGATAAATATTAATTCAGACAAAGGGCTCTTCTGAATAGGCTATGTATGCCTATCTCCTCCCTGAAACAACTCCAAATAATTTTTAAACAAGAATCCCACACGGGACAGTGTGATTAAGTTTTTAATCATAGTTGAGCAATGTTTATATCAAGAATATTTCAGTGGAAACTAACAATATTATTTTGGTATTGTAAAATAAAGAATACAGAGAACATAAGGAAGTCTGCAAAAAATAGCACCAGGAGGGAGACAGCAGTAGGACCATATGTGCTGTCCATTGCAAACACACATCCCATTAAATAGTTTTGAATTCTTTGAACTGGCACGAGACTTAACAGACTAAGTCCATGAGCCATTGAATTTGCCTGCTTTGTGCTTATACACAAAAATTAATTCAAAGAAAATAATTTAAAGAAAGTAATGAATTCTGCATGTTTGTAGTGTAAAATACAAATCAGTGATTCATGTTTTGCATTAACAGATTTCCAAAAGATATTCACAAAGAGACCTCAGGTAAGTAATTAAGCCCAGCTGATCCAGTGCTGAAGAGATACTGCAACCTCTCCTTACAGCTGCAGTGAACATTTTAGAAGAGCCAGCATCCAACACGACATCAAAAAGTCTTTAGGTTAAAAAAAAAAAGGATCCTTTGTTTTTACTTACAAGAGCAAAGATCAGCTTTACTGGTCTCCAGCATTTCTTTTGCAGGCCCCTAACATCTGCATACACACATTTTTCTAGTTTATGGTTCAGCCAGATACTCCCGGCACAGTTTATAGGTACCTGGACTATAATCAGTTACATTGTACAGTTACAAGAAAAAAAAAAAAATTAAAAAAAAAATTAAAAAAAAAGTATGGAGCACAGTAAAAGCCATTAACAAAACAAGAGCAGGGCACATGCAAAACTCCTTAAGAACAGCATGTTCCAAAACAGGATCTACCCTTCTGCCCCAGGAGAGGTCAAACACATGCCTATCCAAATCCCAGCCCCACAGTCCATTTTGAGCAGCACACACGAGTCCTGTCTGCATCGAGAGCTGGAAGCCACGACCTCGAGTCAGGAAACAGCTGCCAGCTCTTGGTGCAAAGTTTGGCAGCAGGGACAAATAACCCATCACACACAGAGGCAAGAGCTACTAACTGTAGGTGCAACTACTTCTAGAGAAAAAAGCAGAAGAAAATATCTCTCTCCTGAGAGCAATAGCTTGGCAGCAAGGAAGAGCCAGTGGTTATTAGTGGCATTGCATGGCAAAATGAGTCCATTTATGGTTACCCAGGTACAATGCCATCTGGAGCTAGAAATTACAGAGCACAAAGGAAACATGATCTCTTCCCATCAATAAGTTGGATTAATTTGGCTGGCTTCATGCAATAAAGGTGAAAAAGGCTGTAATGCTGTAATCCCTCACAATTGTACTTCAGTAGTTTCCCTAGCCTGAGGAACCAGACTTCAAGATCAGCATAGATAAAGTCCTATTGCTGATTAGGTTTCACTAAACTCCCAGGCAGTTTGTGCAGCTCTCATGCAATTTCTCCTGCAAATCGTAGTTTTGGCTGGGTTTCCTGAGGCATTGAGGTTCTACTGTCCCTGAGCGTGTATATTTGTGTGCCTACCTGGGAGTCTCCCAACAATATTTGAATCTATTGATAATTTCAACCAATAATTTTCTTTTCATTCAAAAGCTAAAGGAAGAGTAAGGATCTGAGATACTACATTACTACAAGTTTCAAAAGCTAGCAGCTAGCTCAGCAGATGACAAAGCTCACATTATCACAGACAGAAAGAAGTTTGATGAACTCCAGCCTTATTAGGCACAAAAACCAGTTTTTCAGTGAAACAGGAATATTTTTGACATTATATTGCTTTATGCTACCACTGAACAGCACAAAGGTTGCAATTTCAGAAAATCTGCTGGTTCACCTAGTTCACCCTTACAGGAAATGTTCCTTCCCTTTGTACTGCAAGTGGAGGATTTCTTGACATAAATCACAAGGAAAGTCACCCAGGGCCTGAGGGCCACATTCCACCAGCTGTTTCCCATCACCAAGGAGCGTGTTCCCATGAATTCTCACATATTGAGGATGCATTGCTAACACGTCCTTGGGAGTATTAGTAAAAAAAGGCTGGATTATATCTGTTATGTAAAAAAAATACTATAAAAATGGGTTCTCTATTACAAAGCATGACCTCCCCACATCTGTGACTGTGCATTTCTTCCTGCCTCCTTAGGCAACCAATCACCCTGCAGCCCAAGGAAGGCAAGAGATCACACAAGAATAATGTATTTCAGCATGTAATAATGCTGAAATGTATATGCACAGGCTGAAAGAATTAAGTGACAAATAAAAAAGGTAGCATTTCTTAAAAGACGACCAGGTGACTTTGGTCTACTTGCTGCTTTGGAGTGCAGAGCTAACTCTAATGGTGTTGTTTGCTCCTTGACATATGTATTTCTCAATTATTTTGTAAGTAATCTTGAATCTCCCAGAATTATAAAAACATCCCTTCTTGTCTCATGCTGGTGTCAATCTAAAAAATGGCCTGATACTCACTGTTTTATTTTTTTTTTGCAAAGTCCAATTGCATTTGAGTATCAATACCAATGAGGAACTAAAATAATTACATGCCAGCAGAAGCATGTCACATTGATAGAGATCATCTCTTACCAATTTCTTTTAACTCATCCCTGGCTCTCTGTACCTGCACAGTCTCATGCAAAAGTATAAAATCAGTCACACTGTCAAAATGTAATAAAGATGGTTTCCTTTAGCAGATCATGCCGTCTCATCCACATCTGTGAACATACCAGTCTCCTTGTTCCTGCCTCTGAAATGTCATTTGGTGTTTTGATCTAGCTGACAACATGTTACCTGATTTTTTTTTCAGATTTTCAGAGGAAACTTTGAATGTTGTACACTATAGCTAACACTTCTGAAACAAATCAGGCAAATCATAATTTCAAGAAAGAGCTGAATGAGATTTTGGCATAGGTAAAGAATTTAGGATTGGGTTTTACAAAGGAAGTTAATAGCAGTTCTCATTTGATGATCCAATGTTGTTCTGGCTCCCATTTAAAACAGTATCACTAGAAATAAGACACATGTGAAACCTCTGCCTTCACCCCCC